GACTGACATTAGGTCTGTGTGCGCATATAACCAATTGCCGAGTTGGAAATCAGCTCACTGCTAAATAATGTTATCATAAAACCACATTATCTGTACAAAAAATAATAATACCCAGTCCACACAGTCATAGAAAACAGCTTTGAGCTGTTTAACTCCTGACAAAGTCTAAAGCCAGCCTGCAGGAGAACTCTTAGACTTTTTATCCTATCAGTGAGCGCACGAGTCAAATCTGACATCACGTGTCACTGTTTCCGGACTCAAGCCGCTATCTGATGCCAAAAGTAAACAAGAAACGGGACTAATGTACACTCATAATGCGCTGTAAAACTCTGGAGAAGTCATGACCCTGCCCTTTATTATACCTCTCAGATGCGCAGACAGTCAATCCTCTTTAATGAATCGGTAAACTATTCGTGGCTTAGAAGCTGTACTGTTAACAATCGTTGTAAATTACCTATCGTATTTCACTGTAATATATTAATTCTATGTGTTTTAGTGTTTGATATTTATGCGGTGTGTCACTGTATTGTGGGAAATATCCTCTTGCCGTAATTTAAACTGCATTTTTAATTTTCTGTGAATCGAAATACAGTAAAAAAAATATTCCCAGTATAGAAAATACCGTAGTTTAGGACTGTTTTACTGTAAATAGATAAATGAACAATGCATTGCAAGATTTTTTTTTAATGTATGATAATATATCACAGGTCAGAAGCACTAAAAATACTGTATATTTTACAGTAAAGATATCCAAATACTGTAAATATGGAGATATACAGTAGTAGTACTGTAAGATATTTAGTAGATAATAATAATAGATGAAATGCAATATAATAAATAGTACTGTAAATATTAATACATGATTTTCCAGCAAGTTCAATTTACATTGATTTGCCTGTTAACATTTTGATTTAAAACTAGTAAGTTACTGTGAATTCTACAGGAAAAATGGTAAAAGCGCACCATAGGTTTTTAAACATTCAGTAGATTTTAATATATATATATATATATATATATATATATATATATATATATATATATATATATATATATATATATATATACACAGTTGAAAGCAAAAGTTTACATACACTGTATAAAAAGGCACATAACCATTAAAAAAAAAAGTCAGATGTTTTTGTGACTAAACTTTTCCTCTTTTAGGAAAGTCAGGATTATTAAATGTGTTTATGTTCTGCTTAATAGCAGAATAATGAGAGAGATATTGTTTGAGAAATTGTTATAACTCTTCTTGAAATTCAAGTTTACACACAAAATTATTCTGCCTCTGGAAAAGCTCAGATGATGATGTCAGGGTTTTGGAAGTTTCTGATTGGCTGATTGACAACATTTGAGTTAATAAGGCACAACTGTAGAATAGTATTGAAGGAAAAGCTCAAACACACTGCTTCCTTGTGTGACAACATAGGAAAATCAACAAGCCAGAATCAACAACTAAGCCAGATTACAACTAGCTGAATTACACTGGGAAAAGACTAATTTCGGGAGACGTCCTGTGGTCTAACGGAGCTAAGATTGAACTGTTTGGCCATAATGACCAGTGTTACATTTGGAGGACAAAAGGGGAAAGCGCACAAGCCTAGGAACACCATCCCAACTGTGCAGTATGGGGGCGCCAGCATCATGTTGTGGGGCTGTTTTGCTGTTTTACTGGTCCACTTCACAGCAGAGATGAAGAAAGAACATTATGGAGAAATACTGAAGCAACATCTCAAGACATCAGCCAGGAGGTTTGGCCACAAATGGGTCTTCCAAAAACCCCATGACCCTAAGCACACTGACAAATTAGTTCAAATGTGCTTTAAGAACAACCGAGTGAATGTTTTGGAGTGGCCATCACAAAGCCCTGATCTCAATCCTATAGAAAATGTGTGGGCAGAGTTGAAGAGCTTGTCTGTAATCTGACTCAGTTACACCAATTCTGTCAAGAGGAATGGTCCAAAATTCCTGCAAACTATTGTGAGAAGCTTGTGGAAGAAGACCCAAAACACTTAACCATATATATTATACGTTTTACAGTTTAAAAGCAA